ACAAAAATAAATGAAAAAACTACAAACACCACTGGAATAAATCTATTCAATCTAATAAATCAAAACAACCTAATATTGTTAACCCCTAAAGGTCAAATTACGAGAATAGACCCTAAAACAGGCAAAGGATCCTCAATAAATTTAGTCATAGGTTCCCCAGAATTAAGTCATCTAGAAGTAAAAACAGATATCAATGGAAGAAGTGATCATCTTCCAATAATTATTAAAGATAATAGACACAATATTGAAACTCAAGACAGAAAAAAAAGGGAATTTAGCAAAGAAGGTTGGGAAACATATAAAAAAGAAATACGAAAAATAGATATAAAAAAGATAAAATCATTAAAAGAGATAACAGAAATAATGATTAACATAGGGAAAAAACATTTTAAGATAGACAATAACATAGATAAAAATAAGCCAAGAAAACCATGTTGGAATCAGAAATGTAAAGAAGCAATAAAACAAAGAAATAAAACCTTCAATAAATGGAGAAAAAATCTGAATGAATGAAACAGAATAGAATATAAAAAACTTCAAATAATAGCAAAAAAAAAAAAAAAAAAAAAAAAAAAAAAAAAAAAACAATAGACTGAAAAAAGAAAAAATTGGTCAGATTTCTGTCAGTTACTAGATTTAATACCCCAACAAGAAAAATATGGAACTTTATTAAAAAACTAGAAGGTAATAATAAAATCAATAATTACCCAATAATTCATAATGACCTACTGGTCCAAGATACAGAACACAAACTAACACTACTGAAAGGAGAATTTCAAAGTATAATAAACAAAAATACAAAAAGCCTGTTAACAAATACAGAACTTAAAAGCATGATACTGCAACAAAGTACAGAAGGCTTAAATAAAAAAACTCACATTAAAAGAATTAACCATAACAATAAAGAATGCAAAAAATAATAGAGCATATGGGCCAGACAAAATCCCATATGAATTCTACAAAAATGCCCCGAATAATATACTAGTAAAAATCTTAGAATTGATTAATAACTTATGGGGAAAAGGAGAATATCCCCAAGAATTCAAAAAATCATTAGTTAACCCTATACTAAAACCAGGAAAAAAACCAACAGATATAAAATCCTATAGATTTATAAGCAGGATTTCTAGCCTAGGAAAAATATATGAAAGTATGATAAATAATAGACTGAAATGGTGGTTGGAAAGTAATAATAAGTTAAGCCAAAACCTGACAGGTTTTAGACCAAATTATTCCACAATAGATACTCTGCAAATAATAGATTTACATATTAACAAAACCTTCAAAGAAAAAAAAAAAAAAATGCAATAATAGCACGTTTTGATTTAGAAAAAGCATTCGATACAGTAAACCATGAAGCCATCATAAAAAAAAGCATCAAAACTCGGAATAATAGGCACCCCACTTAAATGGATATACAATTTTTTAAATAACAACATATCAAATAACAATATGCAACAAAATATCAGAAGAAGGTAAAACAAAGAGAGGACTACCACAAGGCTCCCCTTTAAGTCCCCTACTATTCAACATAATGACTACCGATCTAATGATAACAGAAAAAACATTCAAAGTAATATATGCAGACGATTACAAAGTTTTAACATCTCACAAGACCTAGCAGAAGCCAAAAATAACATAGAAATAGGTTTAAAACAAATCATTGAATGGGCTAATAATTGGGAACTAAAAATAAATCTAACTAAAAGTAAAATAATGTGCTTCACAAAAAACAAAATAAGACAGATACCAACAATAAAGATAAACAATGAAGAACTAAAATTTACGACCAAACATAAAATATTAGGACTGGAATTTGACGCTCCAAAACTAACATGGAGAAATCACATCAATAACTTAAAAATAAAATGCTCAAATAGAATAAATATAATGAAAAAACTATCAAGTACTACATGGGGAGCTAATAGAGAAACGATGATAAACATCTATATTAAACCAAAAATAGAATATGGTATAACAATCTATGGAACAACAAATAACACAGAAATGAAAAAACTAGAAACTATCAAAAATAATGCCTTAAGAATAGCCACAGGTTGCTTAATAACAACTCCAGTCACAACTTTATACACACTATCAAATAAGATGTCTATTAAAAACAAATTAAAAGAACAAGAATTAACTCAAATGTTAAAGATACTAGAAAAAACAGAAAATACTCAAATAAAAAAACAACAAATATAAAAGAATACAACCCCAAACTTGTAAGGAATTACAAATAAATATAAAACAAAAGCAGTCCCAAATATAACTCCCATTTCACCATGGTATGACATTTTTGAAATTATAAATACCAAATTTTTGGACTATCAAGAAAAAAATCTACCAGAGCAAATAATAAAATCACATTATGCAATGTTAGAAAACAAAATACCTAAACTATAAAAAACTATTTACAGATGGCTCAAAGATATACAGTATTAACTCTACTTCAGCAGCAATTTACATTCAAGAAAAAAAAATAACAACAATATGGAAATTACCGAGCAATACGGAAATAATAGAAGCAGAACTTTTTGCAATAAAACAAGGGTTAAAATATATTCAGAATGATAAATTATTGAAATCAGTGATATTTTCAGACTCAAAATCTGCTCTACTTCTAATATCCAACTCGAAACCAAAAAATTTTAAACACTTAATATTCGAAATACAAGAAATCATACACACACTAGTAAAACAAAAACATACAATAATGTTACAATGGATACCTTCACACAAAAACATAAAAGGTAATGAAATAGTAGACCAGGCAGCAAAAAAAGCACATAATCTAACAAATACCATAACCATACATGAAGATACAAAAAAACAAATTAAACAAATTAAAATAAAAAACCAAAACAACTGGATAAGATGAACACAATCCTCAACACAAAAAATGATCTAGTGAAAAACACAGATCCTCAACCATGGAGATCTAAAAACAGAAAAATTGATGTATGCATAACAAGAATATAAACTAAACACACGAGATTAAAACAGCATTTACATAGAATGAAAATTACAAATGATCCACTCTGCAGATGGTGCCATATCGAAGATGAAACAATAGAACACTTAATACTCCAATGTCCAAGATTCCATTCCAACAGAACAAGACTAAAAGAAGCACTAAGAAAAATCAAAATAAACAACCCAAATATTGACTTACTATTCACAGGTGCAGATCTCTCCCCAACAGAAAAGTACTACACCCTCAGGCATACCAAAATCTTCCTAAGAAAAACCAAATTAACGGAGATCATATAAAAGAAAGAATAGAAAAGAAAAAGGATCCAGGGGATATAGAATACTCAAAAGTCTAAAACCCTGTAAAAGAAGAAAGAATAATAATAATTTCGAACGAACACCCAGAACACGTCTTGGCGTTTTGTCAAGAGCCAACAAACACTCGTGGACAAAGTCTGTCATCAAATGATTCCTGATTTAGCATAAAGGAGCCTACTGAATCTGTAAGCTCTCCCTATACATCGTGAAAGTAAGTTTACTTGTGCCGGATGAAAGAGGATCACTGAAGTTGCCTTTGTTTACATCTTTTCATCCAGTTATTCACTTATTAATTTACGGAAATGTCATTTTGAAGTCTCCTAAAGGTAGTATCGCCCTAGTAAACTGACTCGGCTGGATTTGATATTGTGTAGCTTCAAACTGTACTCAGTAGAAGATTTTGAACAATCATACAGAGATGAATTCATGAGAAGGGTAATTATAAATTAAACATATTTTCGTAAGTTTTTGGAATACATCTGCCATACTGATTGCGATGATTTTGGTATCGTTGGATTCCTCTCACTGTCTACGAAGCAAATATGTAGGTTTTATTGTGTGGAAGCCTTTACCAACCCAACATTCTTGGCCCCACGAGAAGGGAAGGGCATGGAAGGTTCCAGGGAAATTTGGGGGTAAAATGTAAATGTACACAATCAGTCAATATATTGTTGACCCCCTCATGGGAGGCTGTTGGCCCCCAACCCCTGCCTGGGAAAACAAAGAATCCTCCAGGCCAGACTGTAGAGTATTTTGCTGGCGCAGGGAATATTAAATTTTTTCATGTGCAGAAAACATCATTTTGTCTACATTTGCATGGAAATAGACCTATTAGGTGTCACGTCACGAGTCGGAGTCACCATCCCACTTGGTGAAAACAAACAATGAAGCAAAACTAAAACCTATGCAGCTAAAAGCATGTCCATACCATCTGCCTGCCGATATTTGGATCGACAATCCTTCAACACACCAGGTTATAATAATAATAATAATAAGATAAAAAAAAAAATTGCTGCAGTAACCAGTGACTTTTAGCTATACAGGGTATTTTTCTGTGAAATCAGTGCCATTTCCTAACATGACATTTCTCCCCATTTCTTCTTCTTCTTCTTTCTTGTTATAGGGTTTAGACTATGTTGTCTATATCCCCTGGATCCTCTTCTTTTGTTCTTGAAGTTTCTTATATTAGGTTGATTAACTTGGTTCTTTGTAGGAAGATCTTAGTGTGTCTTAGTATGTAATACTTCAGTGGTAATGGATGATCTGTCCCTGTTAACAGAAGGTTGATGTTAAAGTCATAAATATTTGCTTGAATAAGTGCTTGTTTTAGTTTTATTCTATGGGAGTTGAATCTTGGACATTGTATTATCATATGTTCTATTGTTTCCTCTTGGATTCTACACCATCTGCAGTATGGGTCGTTTTCCATTTTTATTCTATATAAATGTTGTTTTAGTCTTGTATGTTTGGTTAATAATTTTGCGATACATGTATCCATTTTTCTGTTTTTAGCTCTGACCCAAGGTTTTATGTTGTTGTCTTTTATGAGATAATTCTTTGAGTTTAGTAATCTTTTGAGATTCGATTCCCATTGTTTGAAATTTTTTTATTTTATTTCTTTTATTGTATAATTTGGGTCTTGAGAAACTTTCATGGTGTTGTTTAGTTCATGACCTTTCTTTGCTGCTAAGTCTGCTATTTCGTTTCCCTTAATGTTTTTGTGATGGAATCCATTGGATTTTTATTGTTTGTTTTTTAATTTCAATTGTATGCATTTGCTTTTGTATATCATATATGATTTGTATATAATTTAGAGGTTTACGGTTTTGTAGAAGTTGTAGTGATGATTGGGAATCTGTTAGTATTACCGTTTTGTTTAGATTATTGTTTATAATATAATTTAGTCCTTGCTTTATTGCATAGAGTTCTGCGTGGGTTATTTCTATATTAGCTGGTAGTTTCCAGATAGTTGTTATTTCTTTGTCTTGAATAAATATTGCTGCTGAGGTTGATTCTGGTTCCTTTATTTTTGATCCATCGGTGAATATTTTGGTATAATCTTTGTAGTTTATGTTTATCATTTCTTGATAATATTTTTGAATAACTACTTGAGGGGTGTTTTTTGTAAGTTCTTCAGCAAAATTTATTTGAATATAATTTGAGATATCAAACCATGGGGGTACTGGTGAAGTGGTTGGTACTTCATTTATTTTTAGTTCAATATTCAGAATCTTATTAGTTTCTGTGACTCTGTGGAATAGAGATCTCTTGTCTCTCTGGGGGTTATAGTTTTTTATGTAGTTTATTGTTTGCTGTTTTATTGGCATTCTATTGGGTTTGTTTAGGATCTTGGTTAGATGTATATATTCCAGTTCTTTTTTTCGGTCTTTCATTGGGGCTAAATTTGTTAGAGCTTGAAGGGCTATTATTGGGGTTGAATTAAGGCATCCTGTAGCGAGTCTTAATACTTGATTTTGGAGGATTTCTATTTTTTTAATTTCTCCTTCTTTTGCTGCACCGTATATTGTTATTCCGTATTCTATTTTCGGTTTTATGTATATTTTGTAGAATTTTATCAGGGTTTCTCTGTTGGCTCCCCATTTGAACGAGCTAGCTTTTTCATGAGATTTATTCTGTATAATGTTTCTACTTTTGTATAATTTATATGGTTTTTCCACTTTAGTTTTGGTGCATCTAAAGTTAGACCTAATATTTTGTGGCTTTGTACATATTTTATTTCTATATTGTCCATTTTAATTGTTGGTAAATTATTTATTTTCTTATTTGTAAAGCATAGTAGTTTACTTTTTAGGAAGTTTATTTTTAAGTCCCAAGTATTTGCCCATTCTTTTAATTTTTGTAGTTCTGTTTCTAGTTTGTTTGCTGCTTCAATTAAATTTTTTTTACTTATTATTAATGTAATATCATCGGCGTATATTATTTTTTCGATGCCTGTTAGTTTCAAATCGTTTATCATTATGTTGAATAGTACTGGGCTTATTGGAGACCCTTGAGGTACCCCACATTTAGTTGTTCCTTTCTTTGAAGTTCTATTTCCAATCTTTATTTGGAATGTTCTATTTTCTAAAAGATCATTTATCCATTTTAATGGGTTACCTGTTATTCCTAGTTTTGCCATTTTTATTATTAATGCTTCGTGGTTGACTGTATCAAAAGCCTTTTCCAAATCTATACAGGCTATTATGGTATATTGTTTTTCCACGAATGCTTTGTTTATATGATTATCTAGTATTTGTAATGCATCTATTGTATTTCTGTTTGGCCTGAATCCATTTAAATCTTTGTCTAGTTTGTTATAATGTTCCAGAAACCAAGTTATTCTTTTTGTTATTAGACTTTCAAATAACTTTCCGATACAAGATATTCTACATATGAATCTGTAGGATTTTGCATCATTTGGGTTTTTTCCTGGTTTAACTATTGGATTTACTATCACATTTTTTTGTGATGCTGGGTATTCACCCCTGGACCAGTGTGTATTCATTATTCTTAGAATTGCCTTCAGCAAATTATCTGGTGCATTTTTATATAGTTCGTATGGTATCTCGTCTGGGCCATATGCTTTGTTATTCTTGGCATTTTTTATTATTGTTTTTAATTCTATCATTGTTAGTTCGTTGCTTAGTTCATTTGTATTTTGTATATTGAATAAGTTGTATTTTTGTGAATTTGATAATAATTTTTTGGGTATTTTGTTTACTGTTTCCATATATTCTTCTTTGAATTTTTCTAGTTTTTGGTTGATATTTGTTAGTGGCAAATCATTATCTATTATTGGATATTCCGTTGTAATTGTTTTTCCTGTCAATTTTTTGAAAAAGTTCCAAATCTTTTTTGGTGGGTTTTTGAAGTTTAATGTTTCACAAAAATCGTTCCATGATTTCTTTTTTTGTTGAGTTATTGTTTGCTTTGCTTTTGCTGATAGCTTTTTGTATTCTATTTGGTTTGCTATAGTTGTTTTTTTCCTCCATCTGTTAAAAGCTTTATTCCTTTCTTTTATAGTTTCATGACAATCTTTGTTCCACCATGGTTTATTTGGTTTATCTATTTTTTGTCTTGTTTCTAATTTTAAATATTTTAGAGCTGTATTTTTTATCTGCTCTGTTATTCTTCTATGGTTGATATTTCTTCTAAATTTGTTTCATTTAATTCTTTCTGGTAGTCTTTCCATCTTTCTTTTGTGTAGTACCATTTTTTTTCTTTGAGTAAATGGTTTTCAATGTATGTGTTGTCCATTATTATTATTGGCAGATGGTCACTTATTTGGTGGGATGCAGATTTTATTTGTAAATGACTTAGGGCGGGTGAGCCAAATACGAGATCTAATGTGGATTCTTTTGCAGTTTTTGGATCAATTCTGGTTATGAGGTTTCTTGGAGTTAGTAGTAATACATTATTTTGACTTAGCCATTTTGTTATATTTGTTCCTGTTGTATTAGTTTGTCTTTGGTTTGTATTTTCATTCCAGAGAGGGTGATGCGCGTTGAAGTCTCCTATTATTAATTTTGGATGTCTTATCTGATCTGAATAATATTGTAGTTCTTCTGCTTCTATTACATTACATGGATTATATATTAATAGTATGTTTAGCCAGTTTCTTTTATAACTTGTTTTAATTCCTAGTACTTCTATTTTATCTTTGTATCTGTCATTTAAGTTTATCTTCTTGTGCTGAATATCATTTTTAATGCATACAGCAAGACCTCCTCCTATTTGATTGTTTCTGTCTTTTCTTATGACTGTATAGTTGTTGATGTTGAGGGTATCTTTTTCTTTTAGCCATGTTTCATTAATTGCTAATATTCCTGGGTTTTCTTTATATGTTAGATAATTTAGTTCTGTTTTTTATTTAGTATTGATCTTGCATTCCAAAGAATTAGTTTGTACATTTCAATATACTAGAATGTCTTTTAGCACTAAGCTAATTTCGTTTATGATGTCTATAATGTCTTGC